TAACCCTAAAAAATGTCCCCCAAAAAATTTTAAATTTTCCTAAAAAAATAGAAAAATTTCATTTTAATCCGATTTCAGTTTAATCTGCCACAATACAATACGTCTACCCCATTTTTTCCACTATCGCATCCCATTTTAAATTTGTACATTCAGATAACAAAATTTAAAATTTAATGACCATCAGTAAAATTGGCAGTATCTGAAATCAATTAAATGACTCACATTCGATGGTCAAATTTTTAGGTAACTCGCTATAATGATTGGCTAAAAGATAAATCGCGGAAAAACTGAAGCTACGATCACTTTTTTTATATAGCTACTCTAATTGGTTAAAATTTAAAATCCGCATTCCGCGTTTTTGAATTGCAGAAAACTGATAGGAGATAGTTTTTTAGGTTTTTTAAAAACATCAAAAAAACTTTTAAAACATTGACGCTGAGACTAGAATTCGGTCGAAACTAGAACTGCCGCTTCCGATTGATAATTTAACATCAGCTAGGTTCCGTAACATTCTTGGCAGTTAGATTTAAAAAAAAAAAAAAAAATTTCATTTTTATAAATGATTGTAAAATATTTGTCATAATTTTTATTAAAATATAAATCTTTGAAAATAAAAAATATTTACATATATATTAATAAATATTTAAATAAATGAAGGGAATTGATATTTCCACACCCCTTACACCCCTTTTTGATAATGCCGAAATCACAAAATTTTTTTATAAACTTTTGATCGATAATATCTTGGCACCCATCCAGAGCCGATGATTTTCTGCGATGGCAAAATGCCAATTCCGTCCGTAATAATAGACAATTCTGTATGATTGGCCAGAATTACGTAAAGCTTGCCAGCATTATAATCCGCAAATTCTGGCTAAATTATAGCGCTTTGCAAAAAGATGTGACCCCAAGATTTTTGTGATGATGAAAGAGTAAAATTTCCGAGATTTTAGATTGTCTATTAATTCATATTTTTGATCAGTTATATTTATATTTATTTGAAATCGGTAAGATTCTTAAAATCTACAGAATTTCCGATTTTCACGCGACATTGTGATTAGGGATGTATTACATAAATTACTTTGTTACGTTTCATGTAAATTACATTGTAATTTACAAAATTGAAATGTAATTTTACAATTAATAGTGTATTTTTATGTGATTATAATGTAATTGATATTTAAAAGTGACCAGCATTATCAAAGTTTTTACCAGTATTATTAAATACTCGCTACTTCTATTAATATAGCAATATGAGCACAAAAGTGTTTATTTGACTTTTTTTTTTTTTTAAGCTAAGTTCTTTTAACATTAAAATATATCAGAACTATTTATAATGACAACTATTTTATCTCGATTATATTCATTTCTAAAAAAACATGTTCAAAATATAAAACTACAGAATTTTTATTCTTCGTTATAATTATCAGAGTCATATGTATCATTATCATCAAACATATAAAGAATTTTATTAGAAAAATTTAAAAAATTATTTTCCTCTCTGTTATCAAGAATAATGCATTGATTTTCCTCTTCATTATCAAGAATATTGCTTTGTTCTTGATTATTTAAGCATGTTTCTTGAAGATCTTTAACCGATATAGGTCTTCCTAATTTACGAAAAATTCTTGTATTCTAATATATATAAACAAGTTTTTCTGCCTTCTGGGTAGGTATTCGATTACGTAACTTAGAATGAATAAATCCATAAACAGACCAATTACACTCACTTGCAGCTGAAGTTGCAGGAATCGACAAGACCTTACGTGCAACTTGGCTCAAAACCGGATACTGCATGCTTAATAAATTCCACCAATTAATTGGTTTTGAGGTAAGATTTTCCCACAGATACTTTTTTGCAAAACCTCCTGATTTTTCAATGTATTCTGCCAATTCTTATAATACTTTATCTTCATTACCGATGCCTGCAATCCGAATTACTTCAGTATTTATTTTATCTGCCCATATTGTAAAATCAAGATCTTCTCCACGATATCTTGGATCAAGAACATATGCAACAATAATTGTTGGGTTATATAAAAAATTCACCCATCGATTTCTTATAGCTTGTAAAGTATCGTCGCGTAATTCTATTGGAACTTGTAAATTTGTCATAAATTTATTTTTCAATTCTTGTAATGTTTTATATGCTGAAGAAAGATACAGTTCATCTCCTTCTAACTGTTTTATAAAAATAACAAATGGCTCTAAAAAATCATGGAGGTTTTTAAGGTCTGTCCAAAAAGTATAATCCATTATAATAGCTTTAATATTTTCATTAATTTCAATGCTATTTTCAGTTATTACAGCATATATTGCAGCTCGAGTTCATAGAATATGATCAAGACATTCAAAAGCTGATGTCCATCTAGTATCAATGGTTAATGTAAGTGCAATTTCAATATTATAAATTTCTTTCTGCATATGATTAAGAATTACCATAGGAATTTGATAATTGCGAAAATATAAAGCTAATTCTTTGGTTTTTTTTAGGATTTGTAATGCCCATTCATTCTTCAAAATATCCTTAACCCAAAGGTTAATTCCATGTGCCCAACATCCAAGAAACACCTTATCCAGATATTTATTTTTCAAAATATTCCATGCGGCTTTCATATTGTTTGCATTATCTGTAATTACACTAACAAATTTATCTATTCCAGCTTCTTGCATTATATTCTCAATTCCTCTAGCAATATTCTCTGCAGTATGATGCTCATATTTAGTACAAACTGACTTATAAAAAATCAGATCAGGTGTAGTTATTATATAATTTATTACTGGAGACTTATTGATATTTGACCAACCATCACTTACTAAACAATGATAAGGCGTTTCATCAAGAATGTTTTGAACAACTTCTTGTTGATTTTTATATTCTTTATTTAGAAGTAAATCAGAAAGAACATGATGCGATGGTATATTAAAAAAAGGACAAGCTTTTTTAAGAAAAGCTTAAAAATCCACATTTTCTATTATGCTAAATAGAGCACCTGATGTATAAAAGGCACGTGCAAGTAAAGTTTCTAATTCAATTTGGTCTTGCTTTGTAAAATTATCCAGATTTGTAAGTTTTTGCTTTTTATTAACATTTGAAGATTCATTTATCTTGCATAAAGTGCATGTATCTAAGTGTTCTTGTAATCGAGTGGCATTTTTTGCCCAATTGTTACCACATGCCTTGCATTTGTAATGTTCTTTACCATTTTTGTCAATAAACATAGTATATTTGTCCCATACATTTGTATTTTTGGTTCGAACTATTCTTTATTGCGTTATAAACTAACTTTTATATATATATATATATTAATTTATCTTTTATATAAGTTTACAAACAAATATAATAGACTTTTATTACATAATATTTACAATATATTTGATACATTTGATATATTTGATACATTTTCATTTTGAAATCAGACTGATAGTGTAATTTAATTTATGACGTAGCTATCATAGCTATTAAGAATCACATATATCAATATTAAAAAATTGGTCCGGATTCAATAAACAGCATTATAAAATTAGCCTACATTATCACTTAATTAAAATTACATGAAATTTTGATTTCAGAAGATTACACAAAATTTTGTAAAATAACATAAAATTACGGTAATTTTCTATCCCTAATTGTAACTCATAAATCACTGAAATTTTGATCTCAGAAATTTAAATGTCATGTGTTTAAAATTATAATTACATGAAATTTCAATTTACTGAATATTACGCAAAATTACATAAAATTACGTAAATTACTGTAATTTTAACATCTCTACCATCAGGTAGTTCCTAATGATACTAAATTATTTGGTTTTTATTTTTGTCTTAGAAAAATTATATTTGCAGTCAAATTGCCTGCAAATTTTTAATCAAAATTGTTTTCATAATCATTTACAGCTATTATCATAATTTTTGGGACACCTGCTTATTACCCGAAATCTTTTTGGTCATTCAGTAAATTATCTAACTCTCCAGAAATTATATTACTGCATCCAGACTGAAGGTCCGAAGATAGCGATGTAGTTTCTAGAGAGTTAGATAATTTACCGAATGACAAAAAGATTTCAGATAATGATCAGGTGTCCCAGAAATTATGATAATAGCTGTAAAATCCAGAAAAAATAATGTTCTGATAATTCATTATAGCTGTTTTCATAATTTCTGAAATACTTGGTAGAATTAGCCGAATGATTTTTCGGCCGATTCGGTTAAGTTCGTGACTTCAGCATGATTTATTATAGATAGCTCTTCCATTTGACACAAAAGGTATGACAAATATTTTCGTAACGAATAAGTGTTAAATAATATAATTAATTAGTTAATGCTTATTTGTTACAAAATAATTCATTATGCCTTTATGCCAAATGGGAGGGTCATCTATACGTAATAAACTATATTTTAAGATCAGACGAATAATATAATATATATTACAGTATTATAAGGATTACATATTGATATGCATATCTCTGGTTGAATACAGAAATATAAAACTTTCAAACCACCTTCGCTGGCAAATAGTTGAAAAATTTAGAAGGCTTATCAGTTCGAAAAATTGTCAAACGCTTAGGTGTTAGCAAATCCTCTATAAGTCAGGTTCTCAAGCACTTTTAAAAATGTTGAAAAACTTCCATCACTTTCAAGAAAACCACGTTCACTAAACACGAACGATAAAAATATCTTAAAACCTTAACAAAGAAAAACCTGGCTTGTATTTTATGAACTACAATCCGAAATGTTGATTGGGATATAAAATTAGTCACATAACTATTAGAGACACACATAAGAAAGCATTTTATATTTATTTATATATATTTTTATTTTATAAATTTATATCCGCGCTTTTATATTTCTTGTTAAGATTTATTGGTTGACAAGAATAATCTTTTTCATAAGTTTCCATACAAACTAAACATGTTGTAGGTGAAACGGAATTTAAGTTGATTCAGAATTTATATAAAAAACTTTCATTTTCGGGGTTGATTTTATCATATGTACTAACCCTAATTTAACTAGAAAATTCCAATCTACTTAAATTCCATTTCCACTTACGACATATATATCAAGTATTTTACAGTTTAATATTGGCAAATATTTTTAATAAAGCAGATAATCATACGGTATCAAAGTTTTTATAATGAAACGTACGTAAGATACTTTCAATTTTTTTTTAATTACGTAATTAAAGACGATCAGCATAAAATTTGTATTTTGCTTTTGACTTTTGACCAGGGATGGGTTCGGTCGACTACAGTCGACTATCGGTCGACTATGATCGGTTATTATTATCCACTGGTTAAAAAACATATTTTAACTAAATATATATAACAACCAGTTATTTCTAGTACAAATATTAACTTAGATATTTTTGTAGTTTAAACTGAGATACTTAAATACATATATTACCTATATAGTAATTATACAATAAATAAGTTATTATTTGTACTAAAAATAACTAGTTATTATTTAGTTAAAATATGATTTTTTAACCAGTAATCGTTATTGAATAATGGGTTATTAACTTTTAAGCTTTTATGTAACGCCCTTATTTAACGCCCTTAAACAATTCTCTTAAAGTGTGAGCCAATTTTGACTTTTTTTGTTTGGATTATCTAATATTACAACCTGTTTTGAGCTAAAAAAAAAAGTCAATTAAATGTATCAAAATTTAAAAGCATGTTATATAATCTACCTTCTTGCTCTAGCTCTTGTTCTGCAGAAGCTTAAATTAAAATGATTTGTAAAGTATATTATTCACTATATATTTAGATCGCCAATTTCTAGATTTTTCCATTTTTAATAATTTTTAGTCAGATTTTTGCAGTCCAGATTTATGATAATGTTTCTTAGTGATCGTAGTTTATGTCAATCTATCAATAGTCATTTTGTATACTTTAACACTTTGATTGGTTGTACAAACCGGTTCTACCACACTGTAAATGCACCCAAGAATATATAAATTTACATGCGGACTGATTGGATACCATAAGTTGATCTTTATCAAAACAATCTAATTCCGGTCAAATTTGCAGATCATTTGGCAGGAAAATCCTGGGAAATGATCTGCAAATTTGACCGGAATTAGATTGTTTTGACAAAGATCGACACGTTTCAAAACGCTAAGACATACAGCAATATTAATATAAGTGATAAAGGTTTAACGTTCTGTCTGTCACTTTTAACAAGCCAATTTTAGGTTCTGTGATCTATTCTTTTTTTTTTGTTAATTTCATTCACTATTTAACCATCTAAAAAAAATGTCGATTTTATTTTGTAATTTACACAGCTCAGTATAGTTTGGGCAGCCAGATTCACATGTTATGAGGTATACTAAAATTCGAATTATGTTGATTCAGTATCATATATTACTGTATTTGGTTCAGAAATTATTGTTACAGTATATTAGCATTAGTATGATATAGTTTTTTAAAATAGGTATTTTAAACACTTTGACATAATAATTTAGTCTATTTATCATTTTATCGATCAATAAGTTGATAATTATTTTACATATAGAGCCTTAATTCACTCTTGAAGAATTATAACCCTGCATTATATTGTAGCAAAAATCTCAATATCGTATAATTACTGATTTACAGATAGATTAGTTTTTAATCAAAATTCAGTAGATCGATTAAAGTTTAGAGCTAAAATGCATCAAAGGTTGGTCAGTATTATGCAATAATAATGTGTCTGTGCTGGATTATTAGTACAAAATTTATTAATTCAAACTCATTCTGTATTAGAATTTTATTGATCTTCTGAATTTTAGTTGCACAACTAATACTTGGCAAAATCAAACTTTTTTTGACACTTAAATACATGTGATGATCTGCTTTTAAATCAATACAGCAATATGGTAATGTGATAATACTGTAATACGGTATTGTTGTATTGATTTAAAAGTTAGCTCATCACATGTATTTGAGTGTCAAAAAAAAGTTTGATTTTGTCGAGTACTATATACAACTAATCTATTTCAATTATAATATATTATACCAAGTTATCTTAAGTATAGATATTTATTTTTTTTTTATTTTTTTTTTTAGCAATCCTGTTTTTATTAATCAAAGAATACGTATAATACTATACAAAGGTTTTAAACTATTGCTC